CCCCAAAACCCCAAAACCCCAAAACCCCAAAACCCCAAAACCCCAAAACCCCAAAACCCCAAAAGACTGGGTGATTATAGAATACATTAATAATATTAATGGAAGATAAATCACAAACACCAGATTTAGTAGTAGAGGACCCACAAGTAACTCAAACTGGTAGGTGGTTGCTTCATTGTACTGTTGTATTATTCATCCCATGCTGGGATGAATGGGTTTAATGAAATGTCTGAGACTTATCGTGAGTATAGAAAAACCTGAAATCGTTGATGCGGAAGGTAATACTAGCACCAAAGATGACGTCAATTTTAAAAATCAGGAACCTGAAGTAAAAGAAACCTGAATTCAGGAAAAATTGATATATTATTGCTCTTCATTTGATCTTAACGTCAAAGAATGGTATACTGAGTATGAGAACGTTGAAATATTTAAAAAGAGAATGAAATAAACTAGGTAAGATTTTCTGATTTTACATCCAAATCTAGGCCGCAAATGGATCAAATTGGTTTACCAATCGGTTGAAACAACATCTCAGATTTCCTCTGAGTCAGCAAATGAGAGCGATGAACTCTATAGTGAGGAGACTGAGGATAACATTAATTCTCACTGTTTAAATGTAGCCACAGAATACTACCTAATCTCGACGAAAAAGAAAGAAGAGGTAATGTTTGTCCCAAGCTTAAAAATCTCATTACAAAATGGCTAACCTTTTTGCTGTGTTTCATTCTAAATTCCTAATGCTTACCTTCTCTTGTATAGGACTCGTTCGATGAGTTCCATATGGGCCTTAAGGAATACTTCATCAAGAAGGGATACATTATAGTGGACGAACCGCTTTTTGAATCTCTTGCCCATACTTTCCATATTCTGGCTGAAACAGAGCAAGAAAATATCTCCAAGAAGAAGACTGCTGATGAAAAGTTCGAGAAAGAGTACAGAAAGACCAAGAAAAGAGACAAGAAAATGGAGCAGAAGCACGTTCGCACTGAAGAAGAGAATCAAAATAGTGCTGATCCTAAACTCGTCTCCAAATCTAGACATAAAAGATATAAAACTATGATTCCTGGATATAATATCATTAAGAAAAGAATTATAACACCTCTCTTGCTAGCCTCAGAGAGGGTTGTGGAGTACTGTACTCCTAGCCAGGCTGACCAGAAGGAGAATGAGGCTGTTGAAGCAGAGGCCTATGAGGATTCTCAGCTAGCTGACAAGTTAGCCAAGCTTTCTCTTGATGAGATAGAGAAAAGAAATAGAAAACGCAAGATAAAGTCACTTCGGAAATCAAGCAAAAATTTCAACATTTCAAAGAGTCTGGTTGATAAGGCATCTGATTGTGTGGATTTCATTAGTGAAAGGATGCCGGTTGAATCGAAGGTAACCAGGAATTTTGTAACCAATATGATTGAGCTCTCAGATAGCGCTATTAATAGAATTTCTCAAAGTTGAGAGGGAATTGATAGTTCTGAGAGCAATAACATCAACATGAGATTCATTAAACCTTCTAAAAAGTTCTATAACCTCCTGATGTCTGTGTGGATAAAAATGGACACGACTAGTATATTTGAGCTAACAGAAGAACAGTTCACCGAAAATGTTAAGCAAGCACTAGAACAAGAAAATATCGCATGGTCTGATGCTTACTTAGAGCCAACAATTACCTTCTATAACGTTGCTCGGGAAGAATTTATGACCTTGTACCAGACTCAAAAGGATGAGTCATCAGACCAGGACATGGAGCCTGGCAACTTTATTTTCTCTGTAACCAGATTTTTCGCTTCAATAAAATCAACCCTCCTCGAAATGTGGCACTCCGAGATTGTCCAGAAGAGTGCTGAGTTCACTTCCGCATCAGCTGCTGATGAGCAGTCAGAAGAAAGCCAGGAAGAGCAGAAAAGGCCTTCTGGAGAATTGTAAATATACTAACACCGACAATTCATGGAACTAATTTAATTAATTGAAGAATAATCAATGGGTTTTAAAATGTTTGGGGTTTTGGGGTTTTGGGGTTTTGGGGTTTTGGGGTTTTGGGG